AAGAAGAAGAAAAGGAAGAAGAAGAGGAGGAGGAGGAGATTGGATTTATACCCCGCCTTTCACTACCCAAAGGAGTCTCAGAGTGGCTTACAAACTCCTTTCCCTTCCCCTCCCCACAACAGACCCCCTGTGAGGTAGGTGGGGCTGAGAGAGCTCTTGACAGAAACTGCTCTTTTTCAAGCACAGCTCTTATCAGAACTATGGCTTGCCCAAGGTCATCCAGCCGGTGCAAGTGGAGGGGTGGGGAATCAACCCCGGTTCTCCCAGATTAGAGTCCGTGCTCCTAACCACTACACCAAAATGCCGAAGGTAGGGCTGCCAATCTCCGGGTAGTTAAACACAAAAAACACTGTGTTGAAATAATAGACACAATATTCACATGTACTTATAGCTAAATATATTTGCTTTTTATACACAACATCACCTCTAGTGAGGTGAGGTGTGGTGCTAGGCCTGCTTGCTAGCTGAATCACCTCATGGGAAAATACATCTACTAGGCTTGCTGGCTAAGCTGAATCATCACAGTGAGAAATACAAGCCGCCTGCTAGCTTTACCTGATGGATCATCACTTGGGAAATGTACAATAGGTTGCTGCATTGTTCGGTGCAAATAACTGTACATTGGTATTTATCCTCCATCAGGAAGAAGAGAGTTGGACTCTTCCTGTTATGTAACTGAGTCTGAAAGTGTTGGAAATGTGATGTTGTCGTTTGAAAGTGTTTACAATACACTAGAGGTGATGTTGTGTATAAAAAGCAAATATATTTAGCTATAAGTACATGTGAATATTGTGTTTATTATTTCAACACGGTGTTTTCTGCGTTATCTAACTTAGCCGTGTTCCCTGTGTGCTTGTTGTTGAATCTCCGGGTAGTGGCTGGAATTCTCCTAGGATCACAACAGAGATCAATTCCCATGACTGCAATGGAAGGTGGATTCTATGGCATCCTACCTTGCTGGGGTCTGCCCCTTCCCCAAACCCACCCTCCTCTGGTTCCACTCCCCAAATCTCCAGGTATTTGGCCATCCGGAGCTGACAACCCTAGCCCAAATACCAGTGCGTCGCCCCATCATCACAGATGTGATGACCTCACTTCTGGGTCATTAGTGACGTAGACACGTTTGCTGGGTGTCCGCTGGGCCTCCCTCCTGCTCCCGTTAAGTTCTCCCCATCCCCCACCAGGTGGCCGGGGGGACCTGGCAACCCTAACCCAAACCACATAGGGCAACCCTACCCAATCCTACCTACATGTATGTCCCTTCCCTGACAGCACTGCCTGATGCGTTCGGCTGCTAATGCAGCTCCCGTGGCCACTGGCACTGCCACCACTCTGGTCCACCTGTATGCACTTCCTCATCAGTACTGGGAATGGTGGCACATGCACATGAATGGGCAGGGAAAAGCAGAAGGACAGGTGGCATCTGAGGTACACAGGTAGGAGGATCAATGTCAGTGGGCCCCATCAGGAGTTCTAGGCCCTGGCAGCTGACCCATCTCAGGGTATACTAGGGTTGCCAGACCCCACGGTGGAGGTGGGAGTCCCCTGTCAACAGGCCCTTCCCCCCTGCCGATCAGCTGGCTGGTGGGGGGACTGGAGAAAGAGAAAGGCCCAGGCCTCGTCACCCGCATCACACAGGAAGTGACACCATCGCACCAGCGACGTCCAGGTGACGCTCTGGTATTTGGCAAAACCTCTGTGGTGGTGTCAGAACCCACAGCCAACAACGGAGTACACACTTCATAGAGATGTTATACTTTTATTGAAGAGCCATAGATGCATTAACACAGTCACTGTTAAAAATAACCATTGCCTATTGAACCTAATGAGATATAGGGCATTCGTATGCACCCCCCTACTGCGCTGGCCAATTAGGCACCCTCCCGCGCGTGGGCTAGAGCTGGTAAGCATTACTACTATGCGAAGCTGGGAATTGCTCTGCTCCCATGGTTGGGAGACAACACACCTCGCCTCCTGTTCTTCTTTAGAGATAAGCATTACTGCGCCAAGCAAGAGACAGGAATGCAAAAGCAATTTACACAGACACTGAAAGAACATCCCCACCCCCATGGCAGCATAGCTGACAGGTGGAAGCTGGGTTTTGCCCATATAGCAGAGCGTCAACTGGACGTCGCTGGTGCAATACTGTCACTTCCTGTGCAATGCAGGCGACAAGGCCTGGGCCTTTCTCTTTCTCCAGGTAAGTCCTTCTTCATCCCCCACCGGAGGGACCGGGCAACCCCAGGGTATACTAACACTGGCCCTAGTAAAGAAACTACCATTCAATTCAATGGGACCACCACTCAAGGACTTACAAGTGATTTGCACCCATTTTACATACCAGTCTGTCTCATATGAAGCTGCCTAATATACTAAATCAGACCGTTGGTCCTTCAAGGTCAGTACTGTCTGGATCTCTATGTCCGGGGCAAGGGATGCTCTGTATTCTTGGTGCTTGGGGGGGGGGGCAACAGTGGGAGGGCTTCTGGAGTTCAGACCCCACTGGTGGACTTCCTGATGGCACCTGGGTATTGGCCACTGTGTGACACAGAGCATACCTAAGAATGGTGTCCTGACATCTTCTACCTAAGATCCTTTACTTGGAACTGCTGAGGACCGTGTCCTAGGGTTGTACGGCTCAATGAAATTGCTGAGCAGTCGGGTTAGAACAGATAAAAGGAAGTCCTTCTTCACCCAAAGAGTGATTGACACGTGGGATTCACTGCCACAGGAGGTGGTGGCAGCTACAAGCACGGATGGCTTCAAGAGGGAATTAGATAAGCATGTGGAGCAGAGGTCCATCAGTGGCTATTAGCCACAAGATATAGATAGGGACTCTGGGGCAAATGATGCTCTGTCTTCTTGGTGATTGGGGGGGTCAACAGTGGGAGGGCTCCTAGTGTCCTGGCCCCACTGCTGGACCTCCTGATGGCACCTGGTATTTTTGGCCACTGTATGACACAGAGTGTTGGACTAGATGGGCCATTGGCCTGATCCTACATTGGCTTCTCTTATGTTCTTATAAGAGGGAATTAGATAAGCATACGGAGCAGAGGTCCATCAGTGGCTATTAGCCACAAGGTATAGATAGGAACTCTCAGGCTGGGGCAAGTGATGCTCTATATTCTTGGTGCTTGGGGGGGCAACAGTGGGAGGGCTCCTAGTGTCCTGGCCCCACTGGTGGACCTCCTGATGGCACCTGGTATTTCTGGCCACTGTGTGACACAGAGTGTTGGACTGGATGGGCCTTTGGCCTGAATCAACATTGGCTTCTCTTATGTTCTTATAAGAGGGAACTAGATTAGCATATGGAGCAGAGGTGGCTATTAGCCACAAGGTATAGATAGGAACTCTCAGGCTGGGACAAGTGATGCACTGTATTCTTGGTGCATGGGGGGGGGGGCAACA